TGTGAATGCTGAATGAATTATTTATTTATATTAAGGAATTCCTGTAAATTGTATGTGTAGATGGGATAATGGTTTTATAGCTCTGTTCTATAAAATGCCCTTATCTTTTATAACACTAAAAAATGTACAGTTAAAATTATGTGATCTCTAGGATTTGTTTTAAATAATACAGTGGGAGGTGGGAGGAAAGTAGGTAAGAATATAGAGTGAGCAAGATAGATCATTTGTTGATAATTGTTCTAATTTTATACACATTTGAAAGTTCCCACAAGAAACACTTTAAAATGTAAGTAGAAAAAAGATGTACATCTAATATTGATATAATTCAAAAAATCTAGTAAACTATTTTAGGATGGTGGTAGAGAAGAAAAGTGAGGAGAGCTGAATTTTCGTCCTCTAATATGGGATATCAACATATAAAATGTAAATTTAATAAATCAAGAGAGACCAGAGAAGTAAATATTTTTGAAATGTAGAAACAGCTAAAATAGTTAAAATTGAGTGCCTGTGGAGAGCAAAATTTATGGGTGGGCAGATTAAGGCAAGGGACTGCTGTGATTATTAGTAGTCTTCTAATACCATTTGAACACATACAAATTTGATAAAACATAAAAATTATTTTTTAAATGATAGATAAAGCATCTTTTACTTTTAAAATTTGATAGGAAGAAGCCCATTAATACATATTATGAATTATATCCTAACCTGACATTCATGTTTATCGTCAATCTCTTCTCATTTGTTCCCTTTCTTTACGTCATTGTCAAAGCATGTTATGATTATGAATATGACTTGGAGTCATTTACTTCTCTAACTCCTCAGCAACCACCCTGGTCTAATGCCTCATCATCTCACTGACATTGTCTGCTAATAGATTTCCTGTTTTTACCCTTGCCACCCTCTAATTCATTCCACAAATATCCTGGGACAGGCAGAGGAGAATTTGTCTTTCACTCTGCCCTTGAGTACCTCTTTCACCTTAAGCGAGTCGTTTATATTCTTTGAATCTCAGTTTCACTATCTATAAATTAGAGCAGATGATAATCACCGTAGAGGTGTGAAGATGAAGTGAGGTATCACATATTATTCCACATCCAGACTGATGTTTTAAAGATGCAAAGCAGAACATTTTATACCCCTGCTTAGACTTCTTCAGGAGCTTCAAATTGTCATCTGAATAAATCCAAGATCCTTAACACAACCTTCAGAGCCCTACACCTGCAGGTTCCTGCTTGGATCTCCAGCATCATGCCGCTTTTGCCTTCATTCACTAGAACTGGCATATGCTTTTTCTGCTCTTGAATACTTCCCCATCACTCTTCCGTTAGCTCTTAGGCTTTGCAATTCAGCATAAATGTCACTATTTTTTTTTCTAACTCTGCCATATTTTTTTTTTCTCCGCAGTGCTTACTATTTGTAATTGCACATTTACTGTTCACTTGCTTACTCTGTTTCTTTTACAGACTATAAGCTGCGTGAGAACAGGAATGTGTTTCTTTCACTGTCATATTTCTTGTACCTAGAATAACTCCTACCACAGAGTAGATCCTCAGTAAATACTTACTGAATCCATAAATAAATGGAATGTATTACGGGACAGTTTTTCTCAACTGTAGTGTGCACACAATCACTAAGGAAAGATCATTTTTGTTTCGGTTTTTTGTTTGTTTGTTTGTTTGTTTTGAGACGGAGTCTTACTCTTTCGCCCAGGCTGGAGTGCAGTAGCGCGATCCTTGGCTCACTGCAAGCTCTGCCTCCTGGGTTCAAGCGATTCTCCTGCCTCAGCCTCCTGAGTAGCTGGCACTACAGGCACCTGCCAGAACACACGGCTAATTTTTTTTTTTTTTTTTTGTATTTTTAGTAGAGATGGGGTTTCACTGTGTTAGCAGGATGGTCTCGATCTCCTGACCTCAT